GTTTATGGAGAGCTACTAAAGAGAAGGGATGACAATGGAAAGACATTGAAGAGTGAGTGTGATTATAAATCTTAGACATTATTGATGCTAAAAGCAAGGGTTTCCTCGATAGTCCACTTCATGCAATGGCTTATCTTTTGAATCCATTCTATTTCTTTAAGAATCCGTGTATCAAAGATGATTCATTCATGTAAAATAATTTGATTGCTTGTGTTGAGAAATTCTTTCATAGTGATCAAATGCAACATCATGTGATAAATATTGAGTTGCAAAGATACGTCCAAAATGAAGGTTCATTTGGAAGGAAGCTTGCAATAAGTGCAAGTGAAAACAATAATGAAAATTACAATCTGGGTACGTTAATATATTACTCTTTCTCCGTATCAATAACTTATTATATTTTGTATGATTATGTGTGTGCGCATCTATATAAATATATATTAAATTACATGTTTGTCTCTTTCATTTATATTTATTAGTGACTTGTTGGGATTTTTATGGGAATGAAACACCCAATTTGAAGACCATGGCAAAAAGGATACTTGGTTTGACTACTAGTTCATTCAGTTGTGAAAGAAACTGGAGTTCTTTTGAAGGGGCGAGTATTAAATTATTAATTAGGTTGTTACATTTTGATTTTACTTGCCATTGAGTACTTCTTTTTCTTTTTGGTAGATACACACGAAGAAACGGAATAGACTTGACACTACCAGAATGAACAATCTTAGTTATGTCCAATTTAATACAAGGTTGACAAACAAGAAGAGGAGGAAGGGCAAAATAGAGACTTTATTATGCAACCAATGAACAATCTTGGATTGTAGAGGGTTGTGATGATGAGGACGAGTATGATGGGGAAGAAAATGATATCTTAGAACCTTCGAGAGATACTAGAAATGCTCAGAATGAAATAAGGGAGCTCGACGAAGGGGATTTTGTATCGGAAGACACAGAGGACGAATTAGATGAAGAAGAGGATATTGAATTGGAGTCCGATAAAGACTTAGATAAGATTTAAGTTCTTATGCTATTTATTTACCATTTTGTATTTAAATTTGAAACCTTTTTTTTTGTTGATGAATTTGAAAAAATGTATAAAGTTCCTATAAACCTGTTTTAAATATTTAGTAATTATTTTTTTTATTATTAAATAATTTTTTTATTTATTAAAAATTAAAACAATATTAAAATAAGAAAATGTCTTTTTACGCTTTTTAACGCCTAAGCTCGCGTAGCCAATTGCTTGGTCTCTACGCATCGCCATGCATTACGCCTTTTAGAACACTGGTTATATATTGTCTTTATTTGTCCTAACCAATTATCTTTAGACCAAAAATCAGATAATGTTGACTGACAAGCCCCCGCCATCGCTACCACCACCACAGAGTATGTTCAACTACAACATCTAAGAACACTTCATTTTCCATGGAATCCAAAGCCTTCACCTCACCCGATTTTAGGAAAAATATAGTAAATCGTTTCTTAGTATTTTGTTTTGGTCAATAGTTAATATTATGAGAAAAATTGAAGAAAAAGATTAATTTCACTTGAGATTCATTGTTCTTGAATTTTAATTTAATGTAATTTCAGTTCCTTTTGTTTTTTTGGGGCTTTAAATGATTAATTGGTAATGGTTCATCTTGATAACTCAATTCTTGAAAGAGAGTGGATTAATTATGTTTAGAGGCAGTATATATAGTAATGGGTTTGCAAGATTTTAAGGTATTTGAGTGTGTGGGAATTTTTGGCATTAACAGTTATAGAATGATGAATTATTGCTCGATTCTACTTTGTAATGACTAGATTAAAGTTTGATTTGTTCAGTTTCGAAAATCATTCTATTTGAGTATGTTGGAGTCTCTGTTAGTCTATTTAACAACATCAAGAATGTTTTGTTATATGTGAGCATCTTAAACTTCAAAATAAATAAATACTGAGAAATTTGTTTAATGGAATTACTTGGCTTGTATAATGCCTGATTGATTTTTCTAAATTTTTTGGTACAAGTGGCCATTTGCAAGTTCACTTTTCCTTTGTTAGGGATAAACACATTTAGGTCACATGGGTAACTAATGATAAATCTTTACCTTTTATTACTAAGTATGGTACGGATAAGATAACTGGATGCATAAAGGGCTATGGATTTGTGAGATTTGATGATTAAGCGAATGACTACGAGCCATGACTAAGATGACTGGAATGTATTATTCAACTAGGCCCATGTTAATTGGCTTGGTTGATAGCAAACAAAAAGTAGGTGGTCATGTTAAAGGTATGATTTACCCTTTATCCTTGTGGTATGTTAGTTAGCTTATGAGATGGCCATTAAAGCAGCAAATTGACTTAAACATGCTGGATTTGGTTTTTTCCGTATGACAAGGTCTGATTTGTGAATCAGACAGTTTAAATGCATTGATGACCTTTTCTTTTAGAGACATTTTCAAGATTCGAT